TCTTGATCCCCCCAGCAATGACAGTCTCACACCAGCCTGCTGCTATAGAAGAAGCTCTACTCCTTCTTGGACAGCCTCAAGCATTGCTTCAGAGAGCTGGGCACTTGATAGGGTGCCTCGTCTGCTATGTTTTAAGAGTCACAGCAGGCTTTCGTGAAAAGTACTTGCCATTAGTCAGATTGAAATCACCCTTCATAAAACACAGGCAAAGTTAATGTAGAAATATGCCTGTTCTGGGGGGTGCATTCAAAATAGCTGATGTTAAAAGAATTGGGTGAAGAAGAAAAGAAAATAAGAATATGATCTTCCTAGAGCAAGAACAGAATTTAACGGCCTTGTTTATCTCCCTTTTCAGATGACATGCTGTAGGTGACTCCTTGGGCTGTGAGATCAGGGATGTCTGCTTCCTGCTTGCTGCTCAGTGCAGATAAAAATCTTCAGAGCAAACCTTTTCTAGATAAACTATAACAGCAAATCTATAGCTCTTCTTAGGGTCCTCCAAAGTTTTAGTATGATTCAAAAGCCCTTCCAAAAGTTTATATTCTAGCAAAACCCATTAGTGTTAAACATCCTGGAAAAGTAAGGACAGTTTCCATCTGTAGCTACTTATGCAGTGCATTGTGCTATTTGCACAGAAGTATCTGTTTGTATTTTCTTTGACTCAATAAGGGGTCCAAATCCACCACTGTGACTGAGGTGTACCTTTTTCCTGATAGTAACATCAGCATAAGGAGATTTCCCTTCACGGTCCACTGCTCTCATATTCTGATTCCTGCACTGCCCTGTAACTGGCCTAAAATACTTGTTGATTTTAATCTTAATTTAAATTAACTCAATATTTGATTTCAAGATCAAGGGAATGCTGTTCAAAATATCTTTCATGTTATCAGATTTTGCACAAGATATAAACTTGAGCACTAAAATATATTGAAATAGTGATTGCAGTCTGTAACATTTTTAGGACATTGCCAACAACAATGGCGGAATGTGGGAGTGTTCAGGAACAGAAAGTTCAGTTGGTTCATGTGAGAATTAATCTGCTATGAAAATTAGAATGAACTGTTCAGTGTATCACAGGTTCACAGGGCTCAGTTCCAAGTAACAGCTTTGCAGATCTTTCTGTGATTGAATTTAGGCATATTAGAAGTGAAAAGTGATGATTCTCAGTCAAAGCCCATGTGGGAATAGAAATGCAATGATATGAGAAAGCAAATAACAATTCCCAATAAGAAAATACCAACAGAGATCAGTTCCAGTTAGAAAAATAAAGTCCTATGTTCCTGGAATCCCTTGCTCAGTAGTTTTAGAAGAATGGAATTGCTAGTATGCTAGTACAGTTTATTCTTGTGAAGAGTTAATCTTACCCAAAAAAAAAAATGTAGAAGGAAATGCAATAATCTGCCTGGCAAATTAAATCAGTGTGGTACCTGCATCTTTCAAAACAAATACCTGAGACAAGGATTGAAATCCTTTCCAAAGAAAAGAATCTGCAGTCATCTCAGTACATTATTTTACACTGATATGTTCTTTTTCTTTTTCTAAATATGTTTTTTTTCTACATGCCACAAACATTTGGTATTAAGTTGAGCACAGACAGTAAGTGTGGAAAGAACTTAGCCTGTTCCAACACACCCTCCTCTTGGCAAGCAGCTGAAAAAAACAACAGCATTTAATATCATCAATGAGTAAAATGTGGTGGTTTTGTTTTTTTCAAGGTACAGTGCATATTGGAACTGGATCCCAATTTCTTGAAATGAACTGCTAGCTGGAAGGTTATGAACATTCATTTGCTATTGCTGTAGCTTGCACCATTGAAGCCACACAAGAGGCTGCAGGAACAGTCTGTCACTTGGCCTTTTCCAATGGAAAGACCAAACAACTGTAAACAAGAAAATAGATATATTTCAATAATCTAATTTGACTCAGAATATCAAATTTGGCACCCAGTAGCAGAAAAATCCATCAACTGCATTTAGTCATAATACATGAAAGCAACTGGATTCGTACAAAGCTAAAAGTAGTATGGAAAAACATTATTCTTAATGTTCTTATCTTACTTTCAGTATCTCCTATATAACTGCATGTGCAGATGCTTCTCCGGAAGAGCTCTTAAACTGAATCCTTATCTCCTCCTCATCACTGTCTGCAGTAGTCAGGGGAGGAGGGGGAGGGAAGCCGGCTGGAAATCCCAGGGTGCACTTCATGGAGTTTCCTGACTGCTTGAGACTCACCAGTATGTGTAGGAGCCTTCAACACCTTACAAGAACACCAACATTAAATCAGTGTCTGCCTGATGCCCTGTCTTCTTTGTGCCCTAGAGATAATCCCCATGTTGCAGGCAAAACCTTGTTGGCTGTCACCTGTTTTCTTTGCAGGCTCATCCCTCACGTCACCCTTGGGGACGAGTATCTATTCTCAGCAAACACAGAAGCAAATCATGAACAAATCTTATTCTTTCTCTCCCTTACACTTTCGAACATCTTAACTTCCACTGAATTTAAGTTTCACGTGAGCTTGCTAAATGAGAACTAAATGCCGTTATGGGCTCCAGAAGCTGAAATGACTTATGATCCAGTCTTAAAATGGTCATTTAACCACCAGACCTTCTCTATTCATGCTGTGATTTCTAAGAGGTGTTTTACTACTTTGCTTTGCATGTTTTGTTAAACATATTCCAAAGTAGTTCAAACACTGAAAGATTAAATAATAGCCTGAATTATTCCTGGTGTGGTCTTCTGCCCCCTGCACTAAGTAGGTGAAGGCTTGGGGAGAAGTGAGATACATGGGATGAAATAGGTTTATGCTAGGAGAAGGAAAGATTACTAGGTTTGTATTGTCTCCATTACTTGTTTCTTTTTAGCAATGGAAACACCAGTAACTAGTTTGAGGATTCTTATTGTCTCCTGTTTTATTATTTTTTTTTAAATGGGGCGGAAGATACATAGACAGAAAGATGTACTCACCTTAGTAAAACATGTTTTCTTTTAGAAATTAATTCCTAAATGAATATTTACATTTTCTCTTCTCCCATGTAATCGGTCATAATTTCCTATTATTGCTTATGTATTCTTAAATAGGTCAGACCTTTTTCCCATACATATGTTCACGGTCATTTCAGGTTGCATTCCTCTCAGCTTCTTTACCATAGGATATGGGAATAAAGCCCCTTGCCTACAATGCAAGATTGTTCCTGGATGACAGAAGTCCTGCCTTTTACCAGGAAAGAACAAGGCTGTGTTGGGTATTTTGCAAAGAAAAGTGCCAGAGGATTGGAAATTTCAAAAATAGGTCAAAATATGGGATATGGAAGCAGCAGGCTTCTTCAAAGGAGAGTAACTGAAAGTCACAGAAGTTATTTTTACCCTCTAATCTTCCATAACATTACAGGACTGTAATAATGTACTTATGTATTTTATTATTATTGTATATCATCAAATCTTGAGGTTCCTAATTTTATGTAATCTTAGGGGACATGGAGTCTGATAAAATGCTCACTAACCTGGTCTTTGTCTCTTAAGGTTGAGTGTTCTTGGCTCCAGACTTTTCTGCTGATGTCAAAGCCTAGGTTGGTCTTGTAAGTAAAGATTGAAGCATAGAAGGCACTGGGTATCTCAGCATTTTCTGTACCATTTGTGTCATCAAGCTCCCTGCCTCATTCAGCAGCAGATCCATGTCTTCCTTAGTTTTACTGTTTTAGGTACTTGTGGATCCTTTCTTATTGCCTTTCACATCCCTTAACAGGCTCAACTCCATGTTGGCCTTTACTTTCCTAACCCTGTCCCTGCAAGGTCAACCAGATACCACCTCTTGTGTTCTTCCTTTTCATATCTGATTTCTGATAGGAGCTCCTTGCCCATCCATGCAGGCCACCTGCCATCTTTGCTTGTTTTTTTCCCTTCATTGTTTTCCTGTTATTCATAAAAAATGCTAGGAAAGGCCAAGACATGATGATAAAAGGAAAGACCAGCAAGTGACACTTTTAAAAGTGATTGAACAAGAATGTGAATTTAAGAATGCCAGAGGTGCTTGAGAAATACTCTACATAGCTTTTCCCATGCGTAGAAGAAGGGTCCAGAGAGTACAGTAGAGATCTTTACACATGCACTTTGTAGCTAGTTAAAACACAGAATCAGGTTGTTCTGTCACAACAATAGGCTGCACTGTCTCAAGTTAACTAAACTGATTTGTCATGGGGTGATGAGACTCACTATTTTAGATAAATGGGTCACTCTTCCCTTTATCCCACTCATTAAAAGCACACTGAAATTGTTCCTTGTTAATGCTAAAAATTACAAGGGATCATCGCTGCAAAAAAAAAAGAGGTAATCCCTGTTATTTTGCAGGGCTTTGTATGGAGTCTGTTACCAAGGCCATGAGTAAGTAAGCAACACTAAATGGAAGTTACTCACAGGCTATTAATTGTTTTAGTTCTAAGTGAAGGAAAAAGTAAACTGAGACAATTCGCTTTGCTGAACTATGCGGTGATCAAAGACCCATTTGACACCACCAATGAAATAATAGAAAGGGGAACAAAAAGAGAGGAAGGAAGCTGAGGAAAGTCAGTGAGGGTGCTGGAGATTGCTGCTGGCAAGTGTAGCCACTCAAGAGGTGCTGCTATGGGTGGAGGAGCTGGCAGAGGGCCAAGGGCTGTTTGTGCAGTTTTGATGCAAAATGAAGTCAAAAGGGCTTCTTTTAATTCACTTGCATTACTTGCATTGTCGTCATCTGTGTGTTTTGCTAAGGATTTTCTCTACTGGCAGTCATCATCAGAAGCCCTGGCTGCTGATTTTCAGCTCATCCTCATCCTTTGCTTTCCCTGCTCCTGCATGAAGTTGCACTATTAGGATGGATCTTGTTTACTCAGGCCAAACATGCCAACATTGCACTGTGTGTGAGCCCTGAAGAGGGGATATGTTGTGACAATGCTCTGTCCTTGTCCTCTTGAGAGCAATGACCAACAGGATATGGGCAAGTTAATCAACCACACTCCTGTAGGCAGGCAGGCAGAAAAAGTCCTGGAGAAGAACAGATCCCGTGGTTCACAGGCAGCTTTCCAGTTCATGGACCGGGCTCATGAAAAAAATCAAACCAGGTAATCAGAGATGGCTTTCAGTAAGCAGAACCTGAGGCAGGTGGCTGGGCCAGTGTCTACCTGCATGGGGGGAAGGGGGGAAGTACCTAGGCCCTCTGTCCCTCAAGAGCCAAATCTAATGTTTCTCTCAGCAGTAGCAAAAATAGTTTGACAGTGCATCAGCTTTATGCAAGTAGGTTTTTTAACCCAGCTGTTGCTTTTATTTTTTATTCCCCAAGACCTCAGTCTTAGGTTTGGGTTCAAAAGTCATAAAAAGAGAAATTTTGTTTGACTTCAAGAGGCCCTCAGTATCTGAAGAAGAAGTTGAGACTGGTGGGAAGGATGATTACTTCTGGTTCCAAAATACTTGGTAGAAGGAAATGATGAGTGAAAATGCACTGTTGTCACTTGAGATTTAGACCTTATTTTAGAGGAAGTGTCTCAAAATTAGAATAATTAAAGTTCAGAGGGTATTTTAGCTATCTTGTCTTTTTTATATTATTTTCCCATACCTGTTTCCTCCAAAGAATGGACTGCCTTAGGAAGTCTGTAGTCCAAGGTCTTTTATCTATATGAAAAGCAGACAGGGACAAATTCAGCTCCATCACACTCATGTGTTCTGTAAGGAAAGACGAGACACATTTTTTGGAAGGAAAATGTGTTTTTGACCTAAACAGGGACATATGGGAGTTGCCATGTCCTGGGGAACCAAAGGATTTGGGATCTTTGCCTTTGTTTGTGTATCTCACTGGCTTTTGTGATGCTGACTGTGGAAACTGTGAGCAATTTCAACTTTCCATTATCTATCACCTATGACCTAGTTTAGAATTTCACTCTTGTGTTTCTTGTTATTCTAGTTCCAGGAATTAATGCCTCCCTGGAGGAACTTGATCAAAGCAGGGGCTAGACAGTTAACAGAATGCTGTATGTATGTCAGACAGTCGCGCTGGGGTTTCCAAGAATGACTGAGATTTGAGTGGGTCTTCCTGGGACAAGCAACGGATAAGATAGTGAAAGTAGCTAACCAAAGAAAAATAAATAGCCAGATACAAAACTGATATCACGTTACCTAGCTGGAGACTTTGAATATGTGAAGCTGAAAAGGGTCTCATCTGACAAACAGTACTGTTGGGTTAAAAAGGACAGTAAACATTTTAGGAAAAGCTGAGAGGAATGAAAACAAGCCTAGAAAGAAATCCCGACAGCAATTCTGGGTGTATTCCCAGCCATGATCCAGCTTCCTACCTAGTACCATGTGTTGCTGATAAAGCTTCTACTCTCCCTCCCTACTTGAGACACTGGAAGCAAAATGTAGTCCAGGGGAAAAATATCTTTACTGTGAAGGTGACTGAGCACTGGAAAAGACTGCTCAGAGAAGTTGTGGAGTCGCCCTTACTGGAGATATTCAAGAACTCTCTGGATGGAATCCTGCGCCATGTGCTCTAGGATGACCCTGCTTGAGCAGGGAGGTTGGACCAGATGCTCCACTGTGGTTCCTTCAAACCCTCTAGAGCCATTCTGTGATTCCGTGATTGATTCTGTTATTCTGTGTGGTCATAACTATGCACAACAACCTGGTCCTTGTTTGGATCAGGTCTATGGTCACTTCTGACTGACACAGCTTGAGAAGATAAAGATATCAAGAGTAATACTCATATTCTGAGGAATTAATTTTTTATAGGTTTTTTTGTTTTGTTTTGTTACATAGTATAAAGAAGGTCCTGCACTTCTGATCTATCTGTAGCTAGATATCTGTGAACTTTTTATTTCCTGTAGTCATTTCCTCCAGTTCCTTCCAGCCTCTGGTACAAAGTGATCAAACAGTAAATTCAGAAATTACAATTGCTTATGTGTTCATAGTCTGTTGTGTCACTCCAACCATGAGACTCATCTTTCAAGTGTGTTCAATGATCATCACACTGGGCAACCTTGTGGCTTCTCAAGCACAATCTTCTGGTAAGTTTAAATCCCCAGATATTTATTTAAGAATTTGATATATTAGCCAGCAATATTTCTGTGTGTACTTTACCTCATGTGTTACAATATTCGGTACTTTTTTGATGAAAACAATGAACAAAAAAAAATTCATATCCAGCAGAAATGAAAGTGGATTCTTCAGAAAAAAATAAATGTAATAACAGATTTCTATGGAGGTTTTCTAATTAAAAATGAAGGCAGATCTTGCTAAACTTGCTTTTGTTCTTTAAGCATGACTACTTACTTTCTAAGACATATATTATAACAGTGCAGATTAGCCTTCACGTTCAACAAACATTGGATAAAACACACTCCAGGTAAGAATTCCATGCTTAGTACCCTTAAAGAATGAACACTATGGGAAAATACCAACAACATCTTATTCCTGAGAACGTATCAAGATAAAAGTATTATTAGACAGCAAAATTGATAAAGACATTAAAGACCAGTCATTTTGCTACCTAATATAAGATCTCTACTTCATGTATTTGTCTGCAATGCTACTAATTATAGCTTACCAAAGGCAAATGGATCATCACACAAATCTAACATAAAGCCCAACACATACATCAATAATGTAATCTTCACTCTTTTTAATTTACAAAATTCTCTGCAAATTCTCTGTCACTCATTTTATAAGGAAAAAGAAGTACTTTAAAGTTATAAACTCATCAACCTATAAATCAGCTCTCTGTTCTGCCATATATATAGTAAGTACCATTTTCGACAATACTGCACCACCTGATTCTTCAGGGTTAATTGCTCCTGTGAGTCACTGGCTGTCCTGTGAGGGATGTGACTTCCCTGCCCTGAGATGGTAATCACCTACAGCTATGCTGTACTGATGGCAGGACTTTGTGGAACACAATTTGAAAATTGCAGTTGTGATGCTTATATGATGCAAAGTGTCATAATACTTAGCAAAGGTAAGTGATCTTCTGGAAAAAAAATGAAACAAACCACTCAGTTTGATGGACTCTAAGATTATGTCTCAAAATGTATATAAAGAACTCTCCCCTTCTGTCTTGTTCAGCAGCCATGTTCACGATGAGTTGCACTTTTGCCTAAATTTGTTCCTGTTAAAAAAATGAAACTGTTCTTCATAGATCAGTAGTATTGAGAGTAAATAAAGACTATAGGTTCACATCTGGGTCTTGTTCTCCAGTACTTTCTGTACAGCGTGCTGTAATATGCGGAAGTTCAACATGTGGTTACTTATCAGGTTTCATCAGTGTAAGGAAATCAAAAGTGGTTTTTCTTCTTTGTTATGTATCAATGAGGTTGCAACTGTTCCAATAGATGCGTCTTCTATTCTGTTATCTTTGCAAATTGACATTCTACCTTTCCTTTTTCTTTTTCTTTTTTTTTTTTTTATCTATTCCATGACATTAAGCCTTTTTACATGTTTCCCTTCAATAGTATTTTTACTCAGTAATAAACTTTGAAAAGTGGCTTGGAGGTGGAATGTACTTGCTCATACCCTTGCTTATGGCTGCATCTGCATAATTTGATGCTCAAGGAAATTTTTTTCCCCTGTAGAAGTGCTTTCTCCACACACCACCGTGGTATTTTCCATGCTTCTCTGTCCTGAGACGAATTAGGTGCCCAGCAGTGCCAGTGAGGTTAAAGTCTTGTGCATAACCTTACCAATCCCTGTCTGGTTTTATGGAATAGTTTGACTTGGATAATTCTCTCTGAAGCTCTTGCTCCAGGGCACCAGTATGTGTCCTACAGCATTGCAACATATTGCATACCAACTAGACCAGCAGGTCATGCTCAGACAGAAAGTTGCTGCCACCATTTTTTAGCCCAGTGATTCCTTATTTATAATATTTTTTACCTTTTCACCTATTCATTATCATAATAGAAAGAATAATTATAAGTGTGTTGCTTTGTTGTATTTTGTGCCTCTAGGATCATAATTAGAAGGCCTTAAATAATTGCAATTACTGTGGAAGATCTGGCACATTTGCTGAGAATGATCCATGATGTTGCAGCTGAATTAATAAAATTTCCATAACAAATAAAGGGAGAGAAATGGTCCCCTCTGTTCTCTTTCCTTTAACAGCAGACAGGAATGATTTTTCCTGCAGAAGTATAGGTGTATATTTACTGAAAAGGAAACATCACCGGAAGGAAAATCCATACATATCCTCAGAGGATTTGATGTCCATCTAATCCAAACTTTAAAAACCTCACTTAGACTATGCACCTTTTCTTGTTGAAATGTGAATTATGCAACATTTACACATTATAATTTGAAACTATGCAAAAAACTATGCATGTAAATATTTACTTTAAATTTACACAGAACACAACCCATACTGCATTCAAAAAGGCTACAAACCCCATGAAATTAGGATGCACAGTAGAAAATTGTGACTAGAGCTCTAGAAACAAAGTCTTTAACAGTAAAAAATTGGTAAGATTCTGTCCTACATACCTAATTAATTGCCTTGAGACTGATTTCTGATGAAGTCCTTAAAAACTAGAGCACAGGAAAGAATATGTATAAAGAATATGTATAAAGAAAATGTATATATCACCAGATAGTTTATTACAATTTCTCTTTATTTCAATTAATTGTTTCTATTTATTGTTAAAAAACTTAATATTGCATTACCTTCTATTTTAGTGCATAAATAAGTGCAGTTTTTGGAGTTTATATTTATATGTTAAAATCCCAACATTTTAATTCATAATATGTAGGGATTTTTGGCAGAAAAATATTCTGATCCTAGAAAGATTTATAAATGTTTTTAAGTTGATGCACACTGACTAATCCTGCTGAAGTCAAGTGGACTACTCAGAGGTTAAAAAGTTAAGTCCATGAATAAATCACTGCAGGACTGGACCCAAACCGATATTCTTTGTCATCCAAAATATGTTCATTGCCAAACCCAAGATTTAGTCTTCATCTCTGAATTGCAGCCTCTTAATAAGTAGTGCAGATTTATAGTACAGATGAAAAAAAATAAAGAATAATGAGTGTTATTTAAAGTTCAGAATTAAATGATGTCTTTTGTTGAACAGGCTAGTCAGATCACACCCTCAGTTTTTACTTAGTGTACACATTGTAATGTGAGGAAATCCCATGTTGTTCCTCTGATTTCTTCGTTATTATCCTTCTCTAGAGACAATCCTATCTCAACTAACCCACACAAAGTTTGAAGAGACTGAACACCCCATTAAAAGAACTTTATGGGAATCAAGGTTTTAATGTTGGTGTCCTTTTTGCATTGTATTGAGGGAAAACGTGGTGCCCTGAAAAAGGATTTCAAAAGTTGGCCTGCGCAGAGATGGAAGGGTGACTTACAGTCAAAATCTCTACTTTTACTTCTCTGCTGGCAGGTTGTGGGATAGTCACAGGTTCAAGAAGATTCCCAATCACACATCACCTATTTGAGAAGCAAATTCAGTCTAAATGTTGTCACCATAGTTATTGTCAGGTGTGTGAAAAAAAATTTACATAAAAAATTTTGGTGTGTTCTCTCTCACAGTTAATGAACCAATGCTATCCTCTTAATTCCAACAATTTTCCTATAAGCATTGTAGTGGTTTGAGCCAGGTTTTCCCCCTGAAGCTGAAAGTGGTAACCCCCAGGGGGTGGTGACCCTGGGGTTTGACCCAATCAATGCTCCTGCAAAATATAAACATATCTCTGGAGACCGGAAAAGAAGCAGTGATACTTTTTGTGGGAAGAAGAGGTGGCCATGTTGTAGAGGCCACGAGGAGAAGGGGCTCCGGCCCCTTGGGGGCCTCTGCCCCCCCCCCCCCAGCCCCCAGTTGGGGGGCTGCAGGGACTCGGAATGGTGTTAGCTGGGCTGAGTGCCTGTGGCTAAGAGCTGGGGGAGTTTCTCCCCTGTAAATAGAAGTGGGAGACGCTGGGAGCAGCGACGGAGCAGCAGCGGAGACAGCAGCGTCCGAAGAGCAGTGGCAAAGAGCCAACTGATAAGAACCAAGAGAAGCAGCAGATGCTGGTATGCAACTGAAGCAGACAGAGAGCTGTCTGAGGAAACTAAAAGAGCCAGCAACAGAAAGCAGGACAAGAGACCCGAGCCAGCAGCAAGAAGAGAGTTTCGGAGGGTAAGAACTGGACAAACCAAAACCCCCAAACTCGCTAGAGACCCCTCTGAGAAAGAGGAGGGGGTGGTGGACTGAGTGGAGTCCTAAAGTGCAGTATGCACTACAGAGAGGAGCTAAGAAGCTCCGGCCTCCTGAGAGCTCAGCCAGGATGGCCAAAGGAATGTGTGTGGAGGGGGTGACCTTGGGCTTTCCCCCTCCTTGCTGCAGCTTCAGAGAAGCTGGCAGCCATCTTTGAAGCAGAGCACAGAAGCTCTGTGAAGGGGCTTGATCTCCCCTGAGGATACCAGACCGTCACGAAGACCCCGGTGCTTCGTGATATGACCATGGTGTAGCGGCCGTGTCTGGGGTTACGCAGCCCATGGAAAGACCCCCTGTTTGAAGACGGGGGCCGAGAGAGGCTTGGAAGACCTCCCTCGTGTGTGCTGGCAGAGAGCCAGCAACTACTACTGCTGCCTGAAAGAGAAGAAGAAAGCCTGCTGCCTAGAGAGACACCTGTTGCTCGGAGACTGGAAGGGGTCTTTTCTTCTTCTTCTCTCCTGGACTTTTATTTGGAGGGAGAAGAGATTTGGCCCATTGTAAATATTACTGTCATGGTAGAGATAGATATAGAGTTAAGATTGTATGCAGTGTATTATAGTATTTATTTATGTGTATAGTCTTTGTAATATATTCCTTCCCCCATATTGAGTCTCGTGTTTTTGTCTGGAAAACCCATCTCACATGGGGTTGAGATGTGGGAGGGGGGCTAGGAATCAGAATTGGATTTTGGGCCTTTTCAAACCATGACAGCATATTTACAAAAAAAAAAAAGTTATACTGCCCAGTAAGATAAAAATTCAGAAGAAAAAGAAGCAGTATAATATTATTTTAGCACTTTGAACCTGGAGGGATAAAACTCACAGCATTGCAGTTTTTCCCTCTTTGAGATACCTAAAACAATCTTTTCCTCTCCTTTCTTCTCTGCTGTTAATGGTATTTTGTATTTAGGCTATAAACTCCTTTTTTCCTCTTCCTTCCTTTTTTCTACACCTCTACAGCTCTTGTGACCAAATTGACTGAATACCTCAGAGTGATTATGATGGAAAGAGACTTTTTACAAGGGCATGTGGTGACAGGACAAGGGGGAATGGCTTTAAATAACAGAGAATAGGTTAAGATTAGATATTAGGAAAAAATTCTTTAATGTGAGGATGGTGAGGCACTGGAACAGGTTGCCCAGAGAGGTTGTGGATGTCCCATCCCTACAAGTGTTTAAGGCTGAGCTGGATGAAGCTCTCAGCAACCTGGTCTAGTGGAAGGTGTCCCTGTCCATGGCAGGGGGATTGAAGCTAAATAATCTTTAAGGTCCCTTCCAATCCAGGCTATGCTAAGATTCTATGATTCTATGATTCCATGATTCCATGGTTAGAGCTACTTTTCTTAGCAAATTGTACAAGATCCCCCAAAACCTTTACTGATATTAGATGTCTTCAAACACCTACTTTTCACCAGTGAAGTAATCTCTTTGCTTTACAATTGCCTTCAGACTACAGATGCTAGCAGCTCTACAGCAGATACCAGCAGCTTGACACCACTGAGCAGCGTGAGACCAGTCATATATAAACCCAACCTTCACCATTTGCTGACCGCTAGAAATCAATGCAAGATGATTTTTCACATCCTGGGTCAACAGCTGCAACCACACAATTGCAGAGCAATAGGATAAACTCTGGTTGTTGAGCTCACTCTCCAAATAATGAATAATTTACTGCTGTGTTTTTCAGTGGGGCTGCCCAAGTCCAAGTGAGGGTTTGGACCTGACACTGTTCATCTTGTGAGAGTCCTGGCACATCTTGGATTAGTTGTCTACACGCAGGATGGGACTCTCAGACACCCACTCTTTTTGCTGTCCTATAGGTGAGACAGCCTTCCCCTCAGTTTAGCACATAGGTTATTTTAATTATTTTCACAAAGTGCAGAAAGATGAGTGTGCACAGCTCTCTGCAGAGATGTTAAGCCACCTTCTGAGAATAAACTGAAGAATGTTGCTTATTTTTGACTTGAAAAATTCTTCAAAACCTTGCCCTACAAACAGAATTTTGCTTTCTGTCATTGTGCCAAACTATTGTACACATAGAAACAGCATCAGAATTAATTTTAAATTTAATTATCCTTGAAAATGTGTAATTAAGAAAGCAAGTACTCTTCCTGGGTTTATTTTCGTAACTGAAGAATGATCATTAGCAATTCTTTCTCTAAGCGAAAATATCTGCAATCAGACTAATTATCAAAAAGTAGAAAGTACATATTTTGTTGCTTCTAGAGGGAATTGAAAGGGTTTGGTCTAAATTCATAAAAATTATCTCAGGACAGTACAATATTCTCCATTCACTAATATTTATATTTATATTTATATTTATATTTATATTTATATTTATATT